GCACTGCTGCACCCGCGCACGCGCCTCCACCACTCACATCATTAGAGGAGCTACCGCGTTCGCATCTTCCCTCAGGTGATCCTACTTGACTTCTTTTTCAAGTAGAAAAAGAAGATCCAAGGATCACGGTTGTGTTAAGGACATGCTTTAGTAGAGGTAGCCTTAAAATCAGAACTACAATCATTAAGATGTCTCAACCAATCCAAGAAGAGTAAGGCGCGCCACATATCCGTCTCCTTCTCGCATTCCTTGAGGACTTGACGATGGACCGTACCCACCAAATCTGCATAGTCCTGCCAATGACTGAGAGTGTCTTTCTTTTTCTCCGCTCCTCCACCTGAAAGATTTAGAGGTAAGTCTCTGGTGTAAGTTTTTGTTCCACGACTCTACTTTTGCCTGAGTCTCCTTTGTTTTAGAGAGGCAAAAATGAGGCCAGTAAAAACTCCGAAAACCTGTACCCATAAAAGATTCTGACTTGCGCTGTTCTGGTGTTCAGAGGAGGACGATGAAAAGAGGGCGCCTAGTGCTGCAGACGAATTCCTGGTGTGTGAAGGCAGCGATCCCGGTTGCGAAGCAGCCTTTGCCAGTCGACGCTTATTTGCATCTATCTGCGCCATGAAGTTTCCCCCCGATGTCGACAAAGTCCTCGCTGGTTGACTTCCCCACTCTGGCTTCATCATCCCACTGTGGCTCTGCTGAGGATGCATCACGCTAGTGTTCAGACCAGCGGTCAGTGTGCTCAAATTCACAGTGCCTGCTCCTCCCATGATGCCTCCTCCTCCTTGGTAGCCCTCCGAGGAGAATGTCCCCCGCCCCTGTAGAAGTTGTACTGGTATAGCAGCACCTCCTTGGTAGCCCTCCGAGGAGAGTGTCCTCCCCTGTGCCTTCTTTCTAGTAGAAAAATTGCGTCTGTCAGCGTGAGATTGAAACACTTCAAGCGCCAAAAGACAGCAACAGCAGAAGAGCAAACCGCGCTTCTCCTTGGTTTTGATGTCTAAGCTCGCTAGTTCGCGCTTCCCTAGCAATGCTGCGCTACGCAGAAACATCCTGGCCGTCTGCAGCTCCACTCCTCCGCTTTTATTGGTACTGAACAGGCGGAAAGACCACGGATAACGCAGAAGAAGGAGGCTCAGCGCCTCCGGGTTGCCACTTGTCTTAGAGTCTACCTCGACGGATGACGACTTTTATAAGAACAAGTGTGATATATACTAGTTAAGTAAGTAAATAATAAATTTTTCCTACTCTAAGCACAAGAGCACTATAAAGTCAAAGAGGATGAGCAGCTACCCAAAACAATACACAACCAAGATCTGCGCATCAACTGCCAGTGCGAAGGTAGAAGTAGTGCTTGTATTTCAAGTCTTGCTGACAACTCGTCTATTCTATCGTAGCCGAAGGTGCTCAACCCGAACATGATCTTGATAGTTCTGAAACAATTTTCAACATTCAAAAAGAACTCTGTGTCGTTACGTAAGTCTACTTAATCGTTATTTACTCGTATTCACGACCCCCTGGAGATCCTGTTCGTAAGTATGATTCCGCAGTATTTATCATCGTTTAAGAGTGTGGATATCGGCAGGCTTGGGTGTCCTCTGTAGTAGCGGAGGACGTTCGACGCGCACGCTCCCATCAGCGCCTTCGCTTCCTTGATATTCTCCCCTGCGCCAGTACTGCTTTGTCTTCTTGAAAAAGTCCAAATGGTTTTTACTCGTCTTCATCCTCTCGACGACAAAGGCTTGCTAGCGGGCTACTGCTATGCTTATGCAATACCAACGCCCTTTAATGTAACAACTTATCTCGAAGCTATAAGGCTAACAAACAGTGAGTCCGGAGAAACAAATATCAGGTCAGATTCGTCGATTGAACAAGGTGCATAAAAACGGCCCTCGGTTTGAGAGGACCAAGTAAAAACCTGCTCAGTAGGACGAAGATCAACAACTACGTCATAACTTCAACATGTCGCCGAAGGCGTCCAGCATCGTGATCACTATTTTTGGCTCTGGTTGCTCTGCTCGTGTGAAAAATAACAGGCGGGACAAACTTTGTATGCATTCTAGGAGTCCTTGGCACTTTGTTGCCGATATCCCGGCGCTTGCGTAATTCCGCAGAAGCTCTGTCGTCATAAGGCAAAAGATCTGTGGTATGAAGCTTGGGTGGCCTCCAAGAACGCTCCCCACCATCGGATGGACTCTGATATGGTCTGGGTTCCCGTCTGCGATAGCTGCTAACGCGTTTGTAGTAGTTGGAAAGGCCTAATTTTTGCGGGTCGGAAAAATAATCTTTATTATAACCTGTACAACTCTCTGTCCTCGCATTCATTCATTTAGTACTGAATGTGGGAGGACAATGTGGGGACTCTGACCTGCTCAAAGACGAACTATATGATAGAAGATTCCAGTGGAGCCCTAACTAGTAGTTTGTTTTAGAGTAAGATTACTCTATTAAGTGCCGCAAAGAAGAAAATCAATCAGATACTTTATTATTATTAGGTCGCACGCGACCCTATCGCCGCCCACGTTCTGCGCTCTCCTACACATATCTACTACACATATCTACTACAAGAACAGCCTTAATGTCGACAATTTGGGACAAGGACCCATGGCTGTTGCTCTTCTCAACAGAGTTGACGTATCCGCTTCGAACAGCAGATAGCCATCTTCGCTTTTGTCTGCAATGGCGTCGGCGTCTTTCTTGTTGGGTCTCAGCACGAGCTCGACGATTTTCTGCAAGGCGGGCATGCTCTTCCCTTGGATCTCATTTTTGGTCTTTTTCTTCCCACGACCAACACCTGTCGCGTTCTCTAAATCCTTGATCATGCCATTTATGCAGGCTTTCAGGAACGCCATTCCCCAGGTTTCGCCTGCTTTATTCGAATTCGGACCACAACCATCTCCATCTTGTTGTTGACCAGCACCATCAAAGCGAGCACCTACTTCACCTCCAGCATTAGAGGCACTCAACACAATTCACTTCTCGCCTTTACTTCTTCAGAATGTCATGATTGTTGGGAATGAATTGTATCGAGCCTTAACTGCATGTAGTTGATGATCACCCCCAGCGCCGCGTACTGGTGTCGGTGTCGGCGAAGACCCTGTAATAGATCGCGGACCTTGATCAGCTCCTCCATGAGTATGAGGTGATCGTAGGAGCTCTGCCGCATCTTGCTTTTGAAACAACGACTTGTCTGAATTAGAACTCTACTCACCCTAATCATTCATCCCGAATACATGCGTCCTAAGTACATGCATCCTGAGATGCGCCTCGCCTCGATTTCACTTACGTGTTGGCGGGACCCGGAGGGGAGCCTCTGGAAGGCGGATGGCGGTTCTCACAAAGACACGGTTTTCGACACAACAAAGCATTGCAAGGGCCAGCGTGTCCCAGATAAAAGCCTATGCAGGACGCCTCTGAATTCCAGAAGGATCACTCTGACCTCTAGATCTAATCAGAGTCTGAAGATGCGTTATAATATTAGCATTACAAACTTTGTACTTCTAGCCTTAACTACAATAGTTCCGTAGGCTCCAATGCGAGTCTTACCATCGTCACTGTCTAGCTCCTGCAGAACCGTAGCGAACTCAAGCCTTCGCTTGTCCATACTCCTGTAACCGGTGGTGCTCCCACCTAAGCCTCCTAATCCGCCAAAGCCAAGAGGACCGCCACTGCCAGCAAAACTTCCTCGCGAGGAAGAAGCCATTTTCTTTTCCTTCGATTGGAATGGGTATCCTTGGTGCGTCCCTACTAGGGTGTGTATGGCACCGACACAGGCATAGGGCGAATCGCTGTTTTCCTCCTGCTATGCGGGAACAAGAGTCCGTGAATGATCATTGAGGGATCACCGTCGAAGTAGAAGTTCTGGGAAGTTCTGACTACTGTTTTCCGTATTCACGTCAGGCGAACTCGAAGCCTTTTCCTTACTATTATGTCCTCATTGCTGCAGTTCGCTTACTCAGTTCTTGCGGGAAAGCACCATGCAAAATGTCTCGTGGAATCCAGAGTCAGACTTCATTTTGTCAGGTCACATTTTTCTACGCCTGCTAGGCTAGAACAAGATAAGAACAAATCGAACATGATGTTGATATCAACAATATGTGGATGTTGTTGATGTTGACAAACTATTTACTAGACCTTCCCAAGGAGGGGCGATGTTCAAAAAGGATCAGGGAAAGTCTTCATGCATTATTTTATTCAAGGCACCATAATTTTACTCTTCGTCACTCGTACTCCATTGCTTAACACAGCCGTGCTTAATAAAGGAGGTTGCAACATACGCTAAACTACACAATCTCAAGTAGAATCAGTCTCCTCCATCCTGCACGATTATAGAGAGAACAAGTAGATCTTGTAAATTTGAAGATTTTCTATTATCAACATAAATTCTAGCATACAACTCATCTAGTAGAAGTACTTACTTACAACCAGCAGAAGTTTTCCTACTTTGTACCAGTTCTAATTCTCATGTTCATCTAGAGGATATTATCGACATTACCTACAACTAGTACAACATCTATGCATGTCAGTTGATCTTCTTGCTGTGCGAGTTATTGTCAGTCCTTCACTCACGAAATTACTTTCCATTTATTTTCACGAAAATTTCTCATCCCCTTGATGTGGAGTTACCAAAGCCAAAATTCACAACAACGTCAAGTCAATCAAGAAGGTCGCGACGAAAATGAGATGCTCAAGCGGAGAATCAACTCCTTACTGCAGAAAGACGCGAGAAGACAGAGTGTGAGTGAGAGTTTCATCATCTAGCAAATAATTTGTCATAATATTGTCGGCTTTCAAGGTAGACCGATGAGATGCTTGCTTTTTTGTAGTTGTCTTTGAAAACTAAGACTACATGAACTTGTGTGTGTTTTTTGTTGAGAATCAAGTAGCCAAGAAGTTGCACTTATAACGATGCTTCCCCGTTAACGCACTGAAAAGTACGTGAACTTGTTAGTACGTGAACAGCATTTCTGATAGATACGTACTGAAAAGTACGTGAACAACAACATATGCTTTCTGACAAAATTTCTTCAAGGTCAGTTTGTTTATTAATTTGCTGTGGTGAAAAAGCTGCGTGCGGTGAGGGTTCTCGAAATATGAAAGTATTCATCATGGTGCTGGGGACGAGATCGAGATGAAGGCAGGTTGATGTTTTGCTGATTTGAAGTAAGCATACCCTTTGGTATGTTCAAAAAGTTGATCAAAAATGCGCAAAAACTGGGGAGAATTGAGGGCGGGACTCCTCAGTGTATTTAGAGGATATTCAATCACCGGGAAGGGAGAGAAGCTAGGTACAGAATGCAAATAACGGACGATCAGCCTGGCACAGCATTTACCCAAGCTCTTGTCGCCTCGTAGGCGTACATTGCGGGCGCGGTTATCGCGAAAGCTCGACAATACATCGGGACCAAGCCTACCCAGAACCCACGCACCCCCCGAGTCCGATATATCGTCTGCGCTGAGTCTATGGCTCGCGACCTCTCCCAAAAACTTCGACCTCTCGACTGAGAAGTTCGGTTCTGTTCTGATCTAGAAGAAGCAGAAGATGAAGAAGCAGAAGATGATGTTGTAGTTGAAGATGAGGCAGAAGATGAAGAAGGTGCACTAGTAGAAGTGGCTGCTCCTGAGGTAGTGGACGTCGTGGAGGCTGCTGCACGCACGCCTTCTCCTGCACTCACACCTTCAGCACCCTCCGCACCTGCGATCGTCCCCCTTTGTGCTTGTACATGAGTCCTTAGCGTATCGATAGGCATTAAAAGCGACCACATTAGCAGCGAACTGCACACACCCGCTAGGCCACCAGCGACGCCGCGGCTTTTTACTAGTCCGTCGTTTTCTACCAACAAGGCTTCCCTTAGTTTGCCATACAACCCAAGGTAGATGCCAGCACTAGGGACCGAGAAAGCCAGCTGCAGAGGCAAACCTTGAAAAAACCCGAGACAAAAGGGTCGCTGTCGAGACACTTCGCGCAATGCGGCTGGAATCTGAAGAGTGCTTGCAATCTTTCATTGCAGAATAGTGTCCTAAACCTAATAATATCCTTGCTCTTTTTTCAGATTTTTTTTGACGAAGCCGAATATTATATTAAGTAAATCTGCCTAAGACACAACCGAAGAGCAGGTAACAGCCTAAGACACAACCTAAGAGAAGGTAACAGCTGCCTAAGACACAACAGTAAGATAGCTTGTTGTACTTCATCATCATCAATCAATCAATCAATCAATCATATTGCCTCCACAGGGCACCGCGTTTTTTCTGTATTCCGAGAACGCCGAAAGAGTGATCCCAGTGTTGTCCGGAGGTGTACCATTTAGTACTTTCTATAGATCGCACATCTATATCCTTGCTTTTTAGATCCTCTCCTTTGATGAAGGCGAAGATTATATCACTTAGGTAAGGAGATTTACCTACGACTTTTCAAAGTCAGTATTTCTATGGGGTAAAAATGTAGAGAGGACCTGTACTCAGATAGTCTCCGTGGCTGCTCCAAATGTTGTTGATCCTGAAACTGATGTGAATCATGACGCAGCTGCTGAAGTACTTGAGTGATGTAAGTGGCTACTACGAATAGGAATAGACAACAATATTTAGGAGCATGAGTTTGTTGCTGAATGAAGATAGTATGCATGAATAAAAATATGTTGAAAGATAATACGGTAAGACTCGTTGAGTTCTGCACACGAATTTTGACGATGTTGAAGGGACAGCCCAACAGCGAACCTCCCACTGCCGAGAGGGCGCCGTTTGTAAAATAGGACCCCGGTCGAGAGTCATTCAGCGTCTCGAAATTAGAAGAGAGATGGACCATCTTCAGCATGAACATTGTCTTGGGTCTCCTTAGTAGTAAACCCAGTCGAAAAGAGAAAGGGGGTACACCAGTCGAAAAGAGAAACGGGGTACACCAGTCGAAAAGAAAAAGTGGGTACAGTCGAAAAGAAAAAGGGGGTACAGCAGTCGAAAAGAAAAAGGGTGTACAGTCGAAAAGAAAAAGGGAGTCGAAAAGAAAAAGGGGGGGTAAAGTTGAGAGAGAAGGGTGGTTTTCTGTTTTCGTCCCTTTAAAAAAAAACGGGAGGACCAAGATGTTGCCTGTGAAGATGAGTTTCTTCTTGTAGCCTTAACGTAGACGAAAAACTCCATAGGACGTTTTAAAAGCAAACTCGTGATTGGCACTGCACAACCCTTGTAGAGGAACAATAGTCCTTCGTGCCGTACGGATTGCCGTAGGAGTCGGACTATGCTGTTGTAGTTCGGGTCCGTTTTGGGATAAATATATCACAGTCAGTGATTCTTCACTATCTGAGGTAATTCAGAGATGGTTACTAATTCTTCACTATTGGACATGGTTAAAAATTCTTCACTATGCAACATGTTAAATGGAGATAATAATGGTGCATTCAAATAATCTCACTATTTCCATTAAATAATGAGATGGATAAATATTTCACAGTCAGTGATCTAAAAAATTCTTCACTATTGAACAATGGCTCATAAATTGAACTAATGGAGATGGTCAAAAATTCTTCACTATTGAACAAAGAAAATGCAATTATGCGGCGTGTTCTAATTCTCCTGTACTCCTTGTCGTCAAGCCTTAGTCAGATAATGAAATGGATGAAAAATGAAATGAAGTAACTAAGTACTTTCTGAATAACAGAAAATAGGAAGAGGTGGGGGAGGCTTCCACGTTGGAAAGTACTTCCTATTTCAGGTAAATTAAGAAATAGGAAGTACTTTCCAACGTAGAAGCCTCCCCCAACTGGCGCTATCGCCGATGTTCCGCCTGCCGCTGTAGCTGCTGCATTACAACCGACTGTAGTCGTACTACTTATTGCTGCCCCCGTGGATTGATGTATGTCCATCTTAGAGCTGCTCATAGCCTAATTTCTCCCATAATATTCGGGAGCATCATCCTGAGACCTTTTGAAAGTGACCCTTTAAAAAATCGCGGGTCGCGAATTAATATGGACGATCATGCGTCTACTCTAAAATCTCCCTCGAATCATGAGTTAAACATCCCAGGGGAAGCGAAGCCTTAAACATCCCAGTCTGAAGACGTGTTTTTAGCGTGTCAAAGGGGTAGCCAATAGCTATCGTCGTTGCGGCATGAGCGGCACCTGGAAGAAAGTTCCACAGCACTGAAGAAGAGGAACTGCTCTTCGTTGGAGGCGACATTTTGGTGCAACTCGTTGTGCTTGTCGTTCATCTAAGAAGTAGACTTCTACTGTGAGTAATTTCAAAAAAAAGGCTACTGACACTGTGAGACAGCTACTGTCTGAAGAACTTTCTTTTGAACTGTCTTTAGTAAAAAAAGGAACTACGAAAGAATGAAGATAACTGAGCAGTAGAGTATCTATTAGAACTAGAAACGCAAAAATAGCACTGACAGCTGCTTGGTCACAGAGGTGCCACCAATCTACCGTGTTAAGCCTCACGCACAGCGCTTGCGCTAATAACCTGGGAGAGATTTTTGTGAAATATAGATGATCCTGAAGCAGAACTAATGCTGCCTGTTGTCGTGTAAAGAAATGCAATAGTTGACATTCCTGGCATTTCCAAAATCGAAAGTTTAGTAGTTTTCCAGATGTTTCAGTGCACCCCCGTGAAGTAAAACCACGCAAATCTTCACGGGGCCCGCTTATACAATACAACTCAAAACAGCGCCGCTTCCTTTTTTGTAACGCGAGCGAGTTCCGTAAAGAACCTGCCTACATTTTTCCCGCGTAGTTACCGACGTGAGGAGGACGTCCGCAATCCCCTTAACAACTACGCTAATGCCCCCACGGTCTACAAGGATCAAGCCTAGGAGCAAAGGCAGGGAAAATTACGCAGCCAGTGTACCTGCCACGCGGGAGGCCTCACCGCAATACAATAAATCTCGCCCGAAGTTCAGTGCAGCCTGCCTCTCTACTACCACAAATTTTCTTCAGTCTTAGTCTACAAGGATCAAGCTCGAAATCGACATTTTTTTGTGATTCCAGTGAATCGCCGGCGAAGGGATGAAATCAAGCATAAGACCACATACTTATACTGGAGCTGCAGTAGATTGACATTTTTGAGCAGAAAAGAATGCCAAGAAAACTTTCGTCAACTACGTGGGGTTCAGACGGTTGCACTGCAATCTCTCGAGAATATTTCAATTTTTTTTCAAAGTCTTCGGCTAAAGGGCCAACGCACACGCCGGGGTGGGCGCAGAGAAAGTATGCCTGGCGATTTCGCTCATGCCTTGTTATAAGGCTATTTCGTACGTCAGAAATTTCTACAGGGAACACGCTAGATACCATCGCAGGGACACCCACGAACACGGAGTAGAACATCAAAAAGATCATTTTCTACTTAGATTTAGGCTCAGCGGGGAGAATTCCTTTTTCTACAGTACACTACAATGAATTTCGCACAGAGATCTGAGCAGACTGCCATAGGGTTACTTTTCTACCATTCCTTTTTCTCAACAAGAACAAATACTGTATATGTCACTTCAACATTCGCCATGAGGTACTAATTCAATCTCCTGCGACCCTCCAAGTTCAAGGTCCTCCAATTTCATCGTGATGCCCTCTAAGTCCTCCAGGTCCACTAAACAAAAAGAGCGAAAAAGAGTGAACATCTTCTTCCTCTTGGAAAAATCTTAGAAACTTTACACCCGTTCTTCCGAGTGGACAAACTGGGTATCTCACCATCGTCATCATAGATATGTGCTTTAAATGAGTAGTTTTCCTGCAACAGGAAAAAGAGACTGCGCCCGGAAATTAACCACGCGGCCAGGTTTTTTGACCATCAGGCTTTTTTGACAATCTACCACTGAAACAGCTACATCGGTGACCAACACTGCTCTTATGCAGTCTGCTGTTCTACGGTCACTTAAATCAATCTGAAACCACATGAAGTGCTTGAAAGGATTACAGTGCCGGCCCCTGAGCGGGACGTTAGCCCGCTAGGTGCGCTAGCACGCTTGCTCGGCGGTACTGCAAGACGAAGGAAAAATTAACCGGTTATGTTGCTTCAAGCCGGATGGCAGGCTTCTCGGCGCATCAAGCCCAAAGCCGGGCCGATGTGTGCAGGCTCGTGGCCCTTTTCTCCACGGCCGGCCTCGTCCCAATTTTCTAGGGGTTTCGGCTACAAACTCGCCAGCGGTCGGCTTCTTTTGGAGAGGGGCCCGGCGATGGCGGTCCGCTAGTTATCGGCCTATCGCGGACCGGCTGGCAGGCTTAGAGCACCAGGCCCAAAGCCGGGCCAATGTGTGCGGGCCCGTGGTCCTTTGCTCCAAATCTAGACCTTTTCCCGGCTTTCTGAAGGTTTTAGCAGAAAAGGAACGCGCTAAGACTCGCCAACTTTTCTGGGAGGGGCCCGGCAATTGCGGCCCGCTGGCCATCGGCTTATCGCGGACCGGCGGGCAGGCTTGGGGCATCAGGCCCAAAGCCAAGCCCTTATGTGCGGGGCCGTGGTCCTCTGCTCCCAAGCAAGCTTGAGGCCCGGTTTTCTAAAGGCTTCGGCAACATGAAGAGGCGGCCCGCAAACACACGGCCGCTCGATCGCGGGCAGTCAAGGCTTCGAAGAAAGGCGACCTTTTAAGGGGTCACCCTCTCAGCTCGAAGAAGTTCGCACTTTTCAGGCAGTTTCGAAGACTGCGCGCCATCTGATGGCGGAAGCGAGGTCTTACGCATCACCTTCGCGACCCGCAAACGGGCGGCCGCTCGATCGGGGGAAGTCAAGGCGTCGATAGGAGGCGACTCGCTAGGGGGGTCTCCTTTCCAACTCGAAGAGAGTCGCACCGCAGGAAGTTGCGAAGACTGCGCGCGATCTAATGGCGGAGACGAGTTGCCACGCGCCAGCTTTGCACACAAGAAGGACGCGCCGCGAGGTCTAGCGCGTGGCTCGCGCTAACCTCGACGGCGTTCGCAGTAGGAGGAAGAACCGGCGGAACAATGAAGACCCCACGCGAATCGCGAGCGAGAGCCAACGGGCCGGCGCCTTCTCTGCACTAGTTTCCCGCGAGACGGTATAGGGGGCGACCGTTTGGCCTAGGTCGCCCTCTATACCGTCCTGCGGGAAACTAATGGAGAAAGGTGGGCACTGGTTTTTGCCATTAGTCTCCGCGGGAGTTGGGGCTTTCTCCCTTCTATCCGAAGCTACTAGCGAAAAAGCCGGAGTTTTGGGAGCGCGCTCACCTTAGCCTTGGCCGATGCTCAAAGGCCGAAAGGAGGCTGCGCTCTTGATGGAAGGAGCCCGTAAACCGTTTTCGCCATTAGTTCGCGCGAAGAGTCGGACTTTTTCGCTTCTTTCAGGCACTGGTAGCGAAAAAGTCAGGACTTTTGGGATTGCTTTCGGATTCATCTTTGGCGTAGTTTCTTGGCAAATAGAAGTAATAGAACTTAAGCAAATGGAAGCTAGCGCTCTCCATGGAAGGGGACCGAAAACCCTTCTTACCATTATCCACTTATCGACTTATCGCGGGCAGGCTTCTAGGCAGCTCAAAGTTGCGCGTCTGCTATCGGCTTATCGACCTATCGCGGGCAGGCTGCTAGGCAGCTCGGCGCTGCGCGTCTGTTATCGACTTGCCGACGAATCGCGGACCGGCTGCTGGGCAACTTTGCGACGCGCGTCTGTTATCGGCGTGCCGACTTATCGCGGGCCGGCTACTGGGCAGCTTTGCGATGCGCGTCTCTTATCGACTTGCCGACTTATCGCGGACAGGCTGCGAGGCAACTTGGCGCCACGCGTCTGTTCTCGACTTGTCGTGGGCCGGTTACGGGGCAGCTTTGCGCTGCACGTCTGTTGTCGACTTATTGCGGGCAGGCTGCTAGGCGGCTTTGCGCTGCGCGTCTGTTGTCGGCTTATTGCGGGCAGGCTGCTAGGCGGCTTTGCGCTGCGCGTCTGTTGTCGGCTTATCGACTTATCGCGGGCCGGCTAATAGGCAGCTTTGCGAAGCCCGTCTTCTATCGACTTATCGCGGGCCGGCTGCTAGGTCTAGGCAACCTTGCCAAGACTGCTCGCGGGCGAGGTTTTACGCATCAGCTTCGCAACCCGAAGACAGACGACCGCTCGATAGCGCGCAGCCAGGGCTTCGAAAAAAAGCGATTTTAAAAAAGGCACCCCCTTCCCCACTCGGAGAGGGTCGCGCTTTTCATGCAGTTGCCAAGACGCGCCCGCGATCTGATGGCGGGAGCGAAGTTTTGCGCATCAGTTTCGCAACCCGGAAACAGGCGACCCCCTGGTAGCACGCCGCCAGGGCCACGAAAAAAGGCGGCTTTTTAAAAGCCTCACCATTACCTTCCCCACTCGAAGGCAGTCGCAGCTTTCAGGTAGCTGCCTAGACTGCTCGCGATCTAATGGCGGAAGCGGGGTCTTACGCGTCAGCTTGGCACGACTCACGAACGCGCTGCGAAATCTAGTGCGCGGCCCGCCCTTGCCTCGACTAAGTTCCCAGCAGGAACCGAAACCGCCAGAAACTAACGGAGACCCCACGCGAATCGCGAGCGAGATCCAGCGGGCCGGCGTCTTCTCTGCATCAGTTTCCCGCGGGGCGGTATAGATGGCGAGCCTGATCTAAAAGAGGGCGACCCTAGCCGTAAGGGCCCGGCGGATTCCCCTCGAAACCGATACCCGCAGGAATGTCGAAACCATTAAGAGAGGACAACTCGCGAATTCGGAACGGCTAAGGGACTCGCAAAACGGTCAACAGCCTGGCAGGTTTTTTGCGAGAGCTTTCGCGGCTTTTTCATTGTCATATGCTTTGGCCTTTTTCCTATTTGCGACACCAAATGCCGCAACGCGCCGCAGAGTGTGGCGCAAGGTTTTACCGAGAAGCCGCCACGTGGAGACCGGTGGGGCCTCCCGTTTGGGGCCAATCTCTTGGAAGAATATGACGAAGCGAAACCAACAAGGAGAGCCGGGAAACCCTTGCGGAGATTTTTGTCGGAGACGTTGCGCGGGTCTTTTTCTTTTGCGTCTTTGCTTTGTTAATATTTAAGAATGTTCGAAAGCTTTGCGAATATTTGCGAAGATTTGGCGAATATTTGGGGAATGTTTGGGGAAGGTTTGGGGAATGTTTGGCGAATATTTGTCGAATGTTCTAGACTAATTCAAGAAGTGTGGGAATAATTTCCGCGCGAATATTTTGGAAGAAGGTCGTGAAAAACTGTCTACGAAGTTCCTACCGTGCGGGAATCGAACTCCATAAGAGGCGCCGGATATGCTCATGGAGTTCCGCGATAAGTTCTTCTCATGGGGCTACCTAAGCGAGCTGATGCGGGGACGCTCCTCATTTAAAAAGAGAGCCTTGGAACTGTCACGTGGCGCGTCGTCCCTCTGGGGCCGCCAGGGACGACGGGGCATAGCGTGACCATTTTGCCCCCGCCCCCCCTTCTACGCCCCCGCCCCCCCTTGTACAAGGTTCAAGCTGCGCGCGACGGTGCACTAATATAACGAAAGCCCAACGAAGAGTGCGCCCCGGAACTGTCCCCAACCATGTAGCCTTGTACAAGGGGGGCGGGGGGCGCGGGGTACAAGGGGGGCGCGGGGTTCCGCGGAAATGAAAAGGCGGGGGGCGCGGGGTGTCGCGCAAATGCACAAGCGGAGGATGCCCCATCGTCTCTGGCGGCCTTCGGCCGCCAGCCAGACAGGCTGCCGCGTAGCCCAAGGACTAGCCTGATGCCGTCGCCTGTCGTCTCATTCGGTTTGTATCGGTAGCCGGAGGGATTGCAGGGGAGACGGGTACGCCAAGCGAGCGGCGAAGCCGATAAGAGTACGGCGGAAGCATTTGAACAGAGCCCGGAAAGACGGAGGCGAAGCCGATAAGGAAATGAGAAAAGGAAGGGCACGAACTGGCCTTGCGATGGGGGGGGGGGACTGGCGTGCCAAACGGTGAAGAAAAGCAACAAAATATCGAAGACGGCCCAGGAGCACCACTGTCCCGCAACGGTTTCGCTTCAGAGTTTCGCCAAGATTCCTAAGAATTTTTTTAGTTTCGTTGTCTCTCAGGACAGTGGCACAACCTTCGGCCAGCCCTGTAATCAGCCAGAAGCCCGAAAATCAAGTAGAAACCTGTCCTCTGCAATTCGCGTTGGTACAACTTTCCCGAGAGTTACAAACGCAGGCGCAAAAAAAATTTTACGTGGAAGCTTGATAAAATTTGATGCTATTCACGAGACGACTGCGAATGTAAGCACGAGGGACCTTAAGATTTCTTACGGGTTGCATTTTTCTGATTA